AGAACTTAGATTTCACACAAACTCTAAGGAAGAATTAAAATACATTTACAACTAATTTTGCAACAATGACCTATTTTAAAATTAGAAGGCTGGTTTTAATCTTGCTTGTTAGCTGTTTTAGGGAGGCAATATGAGTGGTGGGTTACGGATTGGCCTCCTGCGGCTCCGGCAGCACCAGGAAGCACGGGGGACCACAGGTGTGCGGGGCTCTGGGTGAGCCCCCATCACGTGGACAGCACAGATAATGCGACAAGGCCTCCCCTCCCTCCCGCCTTCTCCGTGCCCAGCTCTTGCACGCTCTCTGATTCTGAGTGTATCTTACCTTCTCTCCTTCTCTTAGGTCAGTCTCACTGTTTCCATACGTGTGCCTCTTTCTCTGCCTGCTTCTCTCCTGTCTTTCTCACCACTTCTCTCAGTCCCTGTTTTGTCTCTCCCTTAATGGATCAAAAGAGAGCTGAATAATATACTTTTATGCATTTGTCTTAACAGTTTTTGTGTTTTCTGTCTCATATAAAACTAGATAGGTGGGTGGATGTTCTCTATTCATCTGAAAAACAAATATATAGTGGTTTTTCATTTAAATAATCCTTGATTGATTCCTACTACTGGCCCACCCCCAACTCAGAAATCCAGGCCAGCCACAGAATAGAAGTCCCACACTAGTCCTAGCCTAGCAAGAGCGACTCTGTGGTTGCTGCCCAATGCATGGGTGGGGGGGGAGAAGCATGATGGCAGAGCATGCGGGGTGTGGGGTGCAATCTGGGTGCATGGAATGGAGACCCCAGTTAGCAAACTCCCACTCACGTGGCACCAGGCCTTCCCACCACTAAGCTCTGCCACTCTCCAGCCTTTGCCTCGGCCCAAGCCGGGTGAACTACCCCTCAGAACCTGAACTCCACAACTTTGCTCATGCAGATCCCTCTGTCTGGCATGCCCTGGCCACCCCCGGCTCTGTTCACCTGATCAGCACCTACCCATCCGCTGAAGTCCTCCCTGCTTCATGGAACCTGCCAGAACGGACTCCTTCATGCCCCACTGTGATCAGAGGCAGGGTCTCAGTCATCCTGGTGTCTCTAGTGCCCAGCACGGTGTCTGGCACATAATAGGTATTCAACCAACATTTATTGGAAAAATGAACAGTACAAAATCTTTTGTCTCCCACTTTACCAGAAGGATAACAAAGTGGGCAAACTTGACTGTAGCTCTGAGGTTCCCACCCAGTGCCCCCACTTTCCCACTCCCAGACCTGCTCACCTGCCTTTGGACTTGCCCTGCATGCTCTGCACGTCCACAGCCCACTCACTGTCCAAGGGTCCCTCTGCCGTGAAGCCTTCTGTGATTCCCGCCCCGGTAGGAAGAAACGTTCTTCATCTGAGTTCCCAAGTACTGATCTGTTGTTACCTTATTTGGACCTCTCCTGTGGCTGTTTCAGCACCCCCATGTTAGGCACACACATAATGTCACCCCCATAATTTCTCTGGGGGTGGAACCTCCAAAATGATCATAGGTTAAATAAGCAACTGAAGGCATCTCTGCCATCCCTTGGGAAGAGAAAAAGCCAGAACTGACAGTCCTGCCAGTCAACAGGAGGGGGTTAGAGAGTCAGAGCCCAGCCTCCCAGCATGGCAAGGAGGTGCTGGGCACAGGCAGTCACTTGCCCCGGCAACATGGGATCAAAACGTTACACTACCTTGTTGGCCAGTGCGTCTCCCGGTCCATCTTCGCTTTTCCCAACACTTAGCTCTGACTGCTTGCAATTAGTATCTGGGAGGCAATCTAAAAGAGTCAAGCTGCATTATGGAGAGCCCCAGGAAAACTGCAGGGCACAGCTCATCTTGTGGAGAGCGGCTCAAATGGCAAAGGTTGGTTCCTTCACCTACTCAGCTGGGCCTCACCAAGGAAATAAGATCAAGAAAGTGGGTTCGTCTTTAGCATTTATTTATAATTGGAAAAACTGTTTGTTTGTTTGTTTGTTTTTCTGAGCAAGCACAGACCACAAGCACGTCACAATCAATTGGCTATACATGAATATTTTTGTCATTCTCTTACTAACAGCAGGAATGAAATAGCACCAAGAGAGGTGTGCGCTACACATTACATAGACAATCTGTGGTATGCAACAAAACCCAGGCCACAAAATCAAAATTAGACACTTCCTGTCTGCCTTGGAGAGGCAAAGCTGTATGGACTGGACGGGAGCCCGGGCAGAGAACAGAAAGCTGAGGGAAGCCAATGCACAGCTTTAGGGGTTATTTTTGCAGGCAGGTGAAGCAGACAATGGGAGAGCTTCCATCACAAGCTCTCTTGCCAGGGGAATATGGGAAACCACAGGGAAATGTACAGAAATGAGTGGGACAGGCAATGGAAGCTTGGCCACCTTCAGAAAGGCATCACCAGAACACTGCTTGTGGAACCGAAATCAGTTTCATTCAGTATGTCTGGGATACAAAACAACACTGGCTGAGTTTTATTTGTAAACAGCAGAAATCAAAGGAATTTTCTGGCCAGTGAAGTGACACATTCAAGAGTCAAAGTGAACTACAAACAGGGTTTTCTTGGGTGGGTGTGTTAAAAAGAAGGGGATACTGGCAGGTCGAAAAGACCTACAGGTCACCTAAAGCCTCAGTGGGACAGGGTAAGAAATTTCGTCCCTGGGGCTATAAGGTGGGAAAGGAAAAGGTGGGTGGAAAAGCCTGTGGGGTCCTTATGGTCAACTATGATTTGGGCAACACCAACTCAACTCAGTCACTGAGATCAAGTTGTGCATCCTTCTGGCTGTGTTGCTGTGGATTTCTTTATACTGTCCACCAAGTCTAGCCCAGTGCCTGGTGCACAGGCATTCAGTAAGTGAATGCTGAATGAATGATGCCCTGTGCATTGTAAACTTTGATTTACTTGATCTGCAAAAAATATGATTATTCTATGGAGAAACCCAAGTTGTGGCTAATGTCGACATGTCTGACTAATGCCAAATCTTGAGTACTGACATACACTGACAAGTTCTCTGGATGCAGTTAAGATCGTGTTGATAGGGTTCTCTGGTAAATGTTAAGATTAGGAAGCAAATAGCTGGAATCAGTACTGAGATCTACTCTATAGTCATTCCTAGATAGGTATTCAAAATTTGTGACTCAAACATTGAGACCCGCTAACGCTTCCTACCTGCTCCTCCTTCCTCACAGTTCTGTACCCTGAGATAGAAAGGGAGTCGCAGCAGGCCTGACCAAGCACTTCATGTCCGGTATTCCTGTTCTGTTAACAATGAAGGCCCACGGGACTGGCCAGTTAGCTCAGCTGATTACAGTGGGGCCTGGTAACACCAAGGTCAAGGGTTCGATTCTCCATACCGGCCAGCCGCCAAGAACAAAACAAAACAAAAACCCAGGATCTACCTCCACAAAACAGATACATCAACAAATATTTAAAAAAAAAAAAAAAAAGAATTAATGATTAAGGCCCGCATAGCACATGCTGTAGTAATATGCAAAAGACTTCTCAATCTGCCCCAAGGTGGCAAACAGAATAGTGTAACCGAGGCTACTACCTGAATGGTCAGAATACAGGAGAGCTTGTGGAGGCTCTGCTTCCTCCAGACTGCGAGGACCTGAAGGGACTTCTGAAGTAAGGAACTGCGTAAACCTTCACTCTTTGCCACTTTCACTACAGACGTACAACAGCCCGGCAACTTCAGAATGCTGGGCATGATAAAGACTTTAAGGACATGAGAAATAAAGTCTGCTGAGCAATATACACGTCACATTGCAAATATAATTTTTCTGGTAGATATTCTGGGTTCCCTTACAAGCACTGGGGGTCTTTCCACGACGACACCCTGACTAATCCCTACAACACAACTCTAGCACAGCTAAGGTGGCACTTGCCACCCCTGGGGGATTTGGCCACACCGACACGTGACACAGAACACATTGAGAGCTGCTCTTATTCATTAATGAGGTCAAAAATGCGTGCTAATCACTTAGCAGGGCACTCTCCTAGTCTGCAGCTAAGTCACAGAAAGCCCCCGAACCTGAGGCTCAGCTCCCCTGTCCTCTCTGGGGAACAGAGCAAGGAGCAGATCAGAAAGGGAGCGTAAACACTGCCACACTTGCCATTATATCTACATCCCACTGGAGCTTCTCAGCAATGGAAAGTCACATTCTAAGTACACTATCCCTACACCTTGAACTTCTTCCTCAGTTGCTCTGGAAAATCAGCAGTACTGGATAGGCAGTCTGCTGAGGGTAAATAGAGGAAAACAGTCTCCTCACTTCTGTAATCTTCCTAGGACATCTAGAACATACCTTAAACACCTAACCTTCTTACCACCCTGGCCTACTTTTAGTCATCAGTGGCATTTCTATTTCTTGGCATACAATTTAAAGCCCACTAATGGGAAACTAAACACAGGCACACATTTCTAACAGGAGATTCTATAAAAAGATTACTTAAACCTAACAGACAGAAATCCATTTTATTGACATTAAGGCCAAGGTTGTTTGTTTTTGTTTTTGTTCTTAATATTTCTACAAAATCTGTCAGTTGCTGAAGCCCAAACTGGGCTTCTGTAGCACATGATAATTCTCTGATTTTTTGGAAAAGAACACATTTACCTAAAGTTCACATCAACCAGTGACACAGACCTTGGGGAAGAATAGGAGGAGGGGGCCCTACAGACACATGCAAGCACCGGCAGGAGCCCTGGCCACCTCCCCTGTCAGCATGTACTCTCGGCTGACGGGGGAGGCATGGCCAGTGAGTGAGCAGCTTCCTGGGGTTCCAGAGTCTGGGGGCCTGGACGCTGGGTGCCCGGCCACCCTCATGAGGAGGCATGCCACTCAGTCTTCGAAAGAGGATTGAAAGAAACCCAAGCAAAGAGCGCCTGGAATACTCAGGACCAAGGCAGATGAGAAGCCTCTAATTAATTTTGTGGCCTTTTTTTGTTTGTTGGTTAAAAAAGAGAGAGAGAGAGAAGAATAAAAGGAAAGTGCAGTGAAATTTACTCTTTAGCCTCAGCCAGTTTATTGTTCATCTCTTTACTTTGCTCCTTGTCGTCGGGCTTGGCGGTGCTGGGCCCCTCTGCACTCTTTTTCTTGGCAGCCTGGCCTGACGCTGCCTGCTTGTCTTTGGCCTTCCTAGGGGCCTTATGGCTCACTGAGGTCTTTTTTGGTTTGGAACTCTGAACACTAGGTTTCTCCACCTGCATAGCGAGACAGACAGACCGCAAACACAGAACACAAAAGGGGAGGGAGAGGGAGAGAGAATTTAGAGAGAAGACATCATTAATTTAAGGATAATGGGAATGATGAGGTTTGACACTGATGGAGCACAGTGTATAAAGTATTTTCAATGACTTTAGGGTGTTTGACTCCCTGCCCTGGACCTGGCAGGCGGTGGACCATATCACTGTTTGGCAATATCTGCTGCCCTAACCTCATTACCTATTCAACTCAGGCACAGGCACATGAGTTGCTTTAGCCAATGAGATGTGAGAAGTGATGTGGGTTCCCTCCAGGCAGAAGATCCAAGGGTCAGCCTGTGCTCTGCAGTGCTCTCTTTTCCACCACCCCGAGTCCCAGACTGGACGAGAGGCACTGAGGAGTAGAGCCATAGCTGACCCATGATGGCCATCTATGCATCGGAAACAAACCCTGGTAGATATAAGATGCAGAGATTCTGGGGTGGTTTCTTGCACAGCATAAGCTGCCTTATCCTGTTTGTTTCTAGGATGGGGAGCTCATATGGAGCGGTGTTCTCACTGAGATGCTCTGGGCCGGGAGGTCTCCAGACTCAGCAAGGCATCGGCACTGCCCAGCCACCCACTTCTTGTCTCTGCCTGGCTCCCTTGGCCACTGCCCCCAGAGCAGCTGTCCCAAGCCCATTCTGCCCACCCCAAGCTCCTTCCTCTAGCTCTGTCCCCCTCATTCTGAGGAGATGCCCTTGCCTTCTCTTTCTCAGAGATCTCTGGAACTACTGGGCATGATCCTTCAACATGCCACCCCCTATCCATCCATCTCTAGATCTAACTTCCCCAACCTTCCACCTTTCTTCCCTTGAATTTTCTTTTGTCCAATGTCAACCCCATGTCTGTGGATGGACAGAGCTGATGTTGGGCTTCACAGGCTGGGTCATTCTCTCACTGAGGTCCAGGGGTTTTTCATTCACCCCTGATCTATAAATAAGGTAACCAATCCTCCTGGTTTGCCTGGAACTGGGAGGTTTCTTGGAACATGGAACTTTCAGTGCTAAAACTGGAAAAGTCCCAGGCAAACTGGGTCAGTTAGTTACCTTACCTATAACCTGGTCCTGGTCAAATAGGAAACTCCACTTGAGTGCAAGACTTTAGGGAAAAAGCAGAGAAAAGGCTATTTAGATTCTCAGACATTTTCTGCTATTATACATAGGAGAGCTGATACTTGCACAATTCCATGTGGCCTGACATCAAAGAATAAGCAAGGCTGCTAGGCATGTACGATTCCTGCTTTGCTGGTTATATCTCCAACATGCTTCTCCCTCTCATGAACTCATACTGAGATGCAAATGAAGCAGGGTAGTGTTATTATAGGAAAATCCCTGAATCCACTTTCACAAACTGTTTATTTTAGTAACAAATGACTGGGAACACATCCTGCAGCTGATGTGACAGGTGTGCTGTGACAGACTGAGAACTGCTGCTGGATGGTGTTTATCCAGGGAAGAATGAGAGAGGGCAG